AGGAGTCTAAATTCAGTATTAAATGTCAAATACGTTAGCGAATCAGTATTGAATAGGAATGATTGTGTAACGTTTCATTTAATGTCATTTAATGCTCATAATTGCCTCTTTAAGGCTAAAGCATTATACCTTTTCCTAGAAAAATCAACTATAAAAGGAGGAGGTCTTAGCATTTGTAAGGACACGAAATATCATTGAGATTACATTGAAATACAAACTTATTTACTGCTTTATTATCCTCAAAAATTTCTTATTCTTTTCGTCTCCTGATTATCAGTAACCCGATTTTTCCTCTTAATTTCTAGTTTTAACCAAAATTCTATTTTTTGGTTAAACAATCTTGTTATGTTTTCTCCAAAATATATTGAAATCAAACAATTTTGTTTTTATTTAAAAAATGAGCCATACATTGCAAATGTTGTAAGGAAACACTATTTTAGAGATCGGAATTTGTAATTACAGTCTAATAGTCCAGCTACGCTCGACATTATTTACTTTACTCTCCTCCCAAAAACATAAAATGGGAAGAAAAAACCCAAAAAAGTGGTAGCGTTATAGATATGTATGGATTTTGTTATCTCTAGTCTCTATTGAGAATGTGTTTTTCTCACTAAAGTGGCAAACCATATTAATTTGTATTGCAACTGAAATGCTTAAACGTATCTAATAATGGGAATAGAGGATCACTTCGTACATCTAGTGGGCAATTTGCCTCGTCTATGAATCTGAATAAATGGTCGTAAGAAACATCTCAAATTAATGAAAGCAGTTGAGTTGTGGACATGATAATGTTTTGACTATTTGATTTGTTTCTTAAATGGTGGTGTTTGTATCAGTTTTGACACACTTCGACTGTTTCACCGAGTACAATGACGCCCCACTGGTAAAGATACTAGTTACTCTGCTAAGGAGGGTAGTTTGAATACTTAAATAATATGCATTGGTACAGATTATTACAGTATCCAAATATCATATTTTGGTTTTCAGATTTATGTCAAATTGTCCTTAAGTTAAAGAAGGATCAATAATGGACTTAATTATATATGTCCAGTAGTAGTTAGTTTAACTATTTGTGTGACTTCACCTTATCTAAAAATTCAACCTAAAAACAAGGCCATAGATAATTTAGTTAAATATGGCCAGCCAATTGGTAGAGGTCATACGTTTCTAATTCTTTTAATTGGTTTTGTATGTTTGGATGAATCCGCAAGCTCACTGGCCTTATTATATATATATATTTTTTTAAAGATTAAGACGTCTGAATATGAATGCACGTCTGAATATTAAGATGTGTGTCAAGATTAAGACATCTGAATCTGAATACACATCTGAATGTCAAGATGTGTATTAAGATCCGAATACTAAATGATTAAGACTGTTTGATTTTTAACATCTGAATGCATAAATTTTATGTTTATTTGAAAATTAATAAACATAAAATTCAAATAAAATACTAATTAATCTAATATTCCATTAATAAAATATATAGGTTTTTAAAATATTATAGTTGCTGGTGGTGATGGCTAACGGTAGTGCTTGTGAATGCCGACTAAAAGCGGTGGTTGGTGGTGGTAGTTTAGGATAGTAGCTTGTGGTGATTGGTAGTGGTAGCTATTATGATTGAAGATGGTGGTGGTGGGTGGTGATAGCTAATAATGGCGGGTGGTGGTGGTGGTAGTTGTGATTGAGGAATATGGTGGTGAGTGGTGATAGTTTATAATGATGGGCAGTGCCAACTATGGTTGTTGATGGTGATTGGGTGGTTAGTTATGCTAGTTGAGGTGGATGAGCGTTGGTTGTCGTTGAGAATGATGGTGGTGTGAGTGGCAGGGATGGTGGGCGGTGGTAGTCGATAATGGTGGCGGCTATGATTGAGGATGATGGTGGTGGTGGGTGGCATGGTGGTAGTTGATAATGGTAGGCGGTGGCGGTAGTTAATAATGATATGGATGATAGCATCTTAATGAAATTAAGTCTATGTTATAGAACTTAATGATACAGACCTATTCAGACCTATTAAGTGGTTGTGAAGTAAAAAAAATAAACACACTTAATAATTAAGATTCAGAGTTCGTGCAAACAAATGAGGCACACTTTTCTCTAATGCATGTTACTTTATCTTTGTTTTCAAAGGTAAGTTAAAGTTTTAAGTTGGCACAATAGCCTCGTAGGCACTTGTACTTGTTAGCATTTGTCATCCCGGTTCCTATACTCAAAGAAGATTCATCCAGACACTTATAGTTGTTCAAAGCCAATATTTTAAACCCCTCCCACCTCGCGTGTTCTTCAAATCTCTGACATGGATGACACATCAGTGGCCACGTCAAATTTTTTGTTACACATCATTATAACTTATTTTTCACATTATTTTAAAATTATTCATTTCCTTTTCTTTTATTCCACCATTTACTCCATCTTCCTCCTCCCTCACCATTTTTATTCTCCATTCACAAATTTTAAAAATCTCCTAACCATCACTGTGTGCGACCCTTCTTCGACCATCCTTCACCTACAAAGCTTCTTCACAGCCAACATTCCACCATAGCATCACCAATCAACCACCAAAAGCTAAACCGGCCATCAATAATGACCACCCGAAAGACCAACATCACCCAAAACTTTTTGAAATTTCACTACAAGAAAACTAGAAAATAGGTTTTACCGGCGATCTTCTTTCATTATTTCTATTTCTTTTCTTTGCAAAGGCTATCTTTCAAAGTAGGGAATGAGGTGTGAGAAAAAAACTCCCCAAAAATTGATGCAAATCTGGTACATGTTTTGGATCTATAGCGACGGGGGATGTCATTGTTTGGATGAAGATATGGTGATGACCACCCGAAAGACCAACATCACCCAAAACTTTTTGAAATTTCACTACAAGAAAACTAGAAAATAGGTTTCACCGGCGATCTTCTTTCATTATTTCTATTTCTTTTCTTTGCAAAGGCTATCTTTCAAAGTAGGGAATGGGGTGTGAGAAAAAAAAACTCCCCCAAAAAATTGATGCAAATCTGGTACATGTTTTGGATCTATAGCGACGGGGGATGTCATTGTTTGGATGAAGATATGGTGGGGAGG